TTGAGACAGGGTCTCACTCTGTCACCCAGGCTGGAGTGCAGTGGCACAATCTCAGCTCACTGCAACCTCCCTCTCCCAGGTTCAAGTGATCCTCCCACCTTAGATTCCCAGGTAGCTGGGACTACAGGTGTGTGCCACCATGGCTGGCTATTTTTTTGTATTTTTTGTAGAGACGAGTTTTGCCATGTTGCCCAGACTTCAAATAGGACTTTGGAGCTGGTGGAAAGGACTTGGAACCTTTTTAAAAGCCCATGTTAGCACTTCCGGTTTGTTGAGACAGGGTCTTGCTTTGTTGTCCATGCTGTTGTGCAGTGGCATGATCACAGCTTACTGCAGCCTCAACCTCCCAGGCTCAAGTAGTCCTCCCGCCTGAGCTTCCCAAGTAGCTGGGACTACAGGCATGTGCCATCATGCCTGGCTATTTTTTATTTATTTATTTATTTTTTCATAGAGACGAGGTCTCGCTATGCTGCCCGAGTTGGTCTCTAACTGCTGGGTTCAAGTGATCCTCCTACCTTGGCCTTCCAAAGTGCTGGGATTACAGGGATGAGCTACCACACCTGGCCAGCACATTCGATATAAATGAAATTTGACAGGATTCTAGAAGGCAAGCTGGTTATAATCTTGTACACACAAGGACAAGTGAGGAAGAAAGGAGACACAGTGCCCAGGGATAGGGAAGCAAAATAAGATATACCCAGTTATCCATGGTCATGGAGAACAGACATGCCAGATTATTAAAACCAGTAGATAATCCAAAAGGCACTCTGGAATACATTATATGTCCTATCAACACCTTGCCTCTGAACCCCAGTAGATTTATTCCTCCAGTTAACTTTTCTCAGACTGACATTAAAACGAACATATATTTTCCAAGTTGCTTCCAGCTGATGGCTGGAGGGAGTGGGCAATAGCATGAAGATTGTGAAGGGTACGGAAGGCCTAAAATAATCCATTAGCCACAGAGAATCTCAGTGTGGGTATTTGAGAGTCACCTGTACATGCCCAGCAAAGAGGTTCTGCTTGTCAAGGCAACTGAGTTGAGCCACCTAACTCTTCTCGGAGGCCCACTCCAAAGGTGTATAGTAAGTCAAGTCAGGAGTCTCAAGCTGAATGCCTCTCAGTCCATAATGCTACCAGTCGCATAACATGTGTGGCCAAACCAGAGATAC